GAGGGAGGGAGGGAGGGAGGGGACGAGGTTGGGGAAAGGCGAATAATAGTACGCAGAGAGACAGAGAGAAGAGAGAGCCACATGAACTAGGGCTATAACTGCTCTTGTGACTCACAAATACTAGCATACGCCATCATCACACGGATTGTAAGAAGCACACATCTACATTAGACTGGAGGTGCTGGTTTCCACTCCCGTACAACAACACAGCAGCAGTACCTTCGCCAGGGACGCGTGCATGTAGAGTAGCTATACCGCAATATCCCTGCTTCTTGGTGCCACCGCTCTGGCTTTTATTGGAGCTTGAGGTGGATCGTTGGTATGTAGCACCAGCCCGAGAGGAAGGCGAAGACTCAACGGGGGCGTTGCAAGCGCGTCGCCCACCCAGCTCTGACGGCGAAATACAGCAACTTTTGAGATGGAACATCTTGTCGAGTGTGATAGTGGTGGCGTCGGCGGCAGCAGCAGTAAGGCGTAGAGCAGCATCAGTATCAGAAGTACGACGCTGGTCGGTAGTCTGAAACACCGGCAGCGCTCCATTCGGGCCAAGAGACCACGGGACTGTCGGGTGCGGCGGAAAAATGGCGAATCGAATACTATAACGCGGAACCGTTCTCTCGTTCTGGCGTTCTGGCGATTGTTCTCATGTTGGTCTGTTCGCAATATTTCAATATTTTGTTGGAAAAAAATAAACTTATGACAACAAGAACAGGATGCGTACACAGAGTGCCCACACGCCCACACCATCCCACGTCTCCGCAATCTTCACACACCAGTTCCTAGTTCTTCTACGCTAGAAGATCCTGTTGCCAGTCAGCACTATTTGGCCTGCTGAACACAGACATCTCTTCACGTCTCGACCGGCGAAACGAGACCCCAACTGCGTCTTTCAGCATAACCACAACCCCGTAGGTGAGCATCAGCCTACACCTGGCACTTTCGACGAGTTCTGCTTCTGCAGCTCGCTCCTGTAAACGACGAAAAACAAAGGTAAGCTCTACATGTAGACCGCGGCTCTTCTTCCGTCGTGACCTCTCGGTTACGACATCAATGTCCATATATTCTCGAAGCCGCATTTTAGCAGGGGCGTACTAAATCCTGCCTGTAGCCAGTCATCAGTCCTGTTTCCACAGACTTCAAAATAAAGCCTTGCACATACGATGCAGTAGGAGCAGCGTTGGACGGACCCCGCTCGATAGTAGTGACCGCAAGGGACCACTTGCTCGTGACTCGATGGCACAGAGGGGGAGAGTCGCTACAGCAGCAGCAGTCGGTCTAAAATGTTCCCGACCTGCAAGCAAGGCAGGGGTGCAGAAAAGGGGTTTTGACGCTGGCTCTTTTCCCATACTTTAATCCTATACAGAAAGAAAACAACCTTCCCGCCAGGGTTAGGTTAGGCATTCTATTGTCATCAGTAGAGGACACCATGAAGAGGCGTCGTGTGTGCTGGCACGTTCAGGTTTGCTACTGGAGCGGAAATATCGAAGGTCGCAGCAGCCTCTGAAAACAGTCCGAAATCTGCGCCGGAACCAGGCGGCATCCAACATTTGTCACAGCCATGATCACCGCCACGGACCGTCAGCAGTTGCTAGTGGCATCAGCTACTGCTGTAAACCCGTAGTTCAGGGGATTGGGGTCGGTGGCGGCGAGCACGGCTGTGACAAATGTTGGATGCCGCTTGGTTCCGGCGCAGATTTCGGACTGTTTTGAAAGGCTCCTGTGACCTTCGATATTTCAGCTCCAGTAGCAAACCTGAACGTGCCAGCACGCACGACGCCTCTTCATGATGTCCTCTACTGCTGACAATAGAATGCCTAACCTAACCCTCAAAACTAACCTTGTTTGAGCGCCTTCCGTTTTGGCTCTTTCGACTTGAATTTAGAATGGTGTGAATTTTATCTTGATTTCAAAGAGGTCTGCGGAGGTAGACGCGTGAAATGTATGTTTTGAGCAGCCTCTACTGCCGCCCTGTGCGAGAATCAACGATTTCTGTGTTTCGCGATGCCTCCCGAATGGTCTGGTGTATCTGTTGTGCAATTTCTGGTGCTCTTGCGTTTGTTTTCAAAATTAGTCAACATCAAAATTCGTCTTCTTCTGCACCCCCTCAAGACGACGTCTGAGGCTGGCACCGATCGGGCTACGGAATCCGCCCACCAACGTCTGGCGCACCCGGGCGTATATGTAGGCGGCTCGCTTTGTCTGTCCGGTGTGGTTTGAAGGGTGTAAAGAGAGCGTTGTATGCATACTGTAGTCGCTCGGATCTAAGGAGGGGAGGGCTCTCTGTAATGGAGCAACTATAATAATAGTGTATTTGCATTGTTGTACGAGCGTTTAAGGAACGTTGTATGAGCGCTTATTGGATATTTTGAATTTTCTTTGGATATGGATATTTGGCGACGTTGAGGGGTATTGAAGTACAGCTTGAAGGAAGATCAAAATCCCAGCCCCGCTCCCTCACTCTCCGAGTGGGCGCTGAGCGGACCTGGTCTAAGAAGGCTAAAACAAGAGATCAAACAACAACTGTGAGTACCCGAAGCCAGGAGCAACGAACTTGCTCCCTTCCCTATTTTATTTCTCTGTTCCTCCATTACATCTCCTCTCAGCATCGGCCCCTGCCTGGAAAGAGAAGAAAGCAACGGCCGAAACGCGCGTCGAAAATATCAGAAATCTCGGAAAAAGCCGCACGCCGTCTCCGATCGTTATTTTTTTTTTTTCTGAATACCCAACGCATCCATCTGACCAAGGACAGGACGCAACGACGCAACATCGCAACATACAACATACCTCACACCACCCAATCTCCGCAGTCTTGAAACTTCAAACGAGTCTCCAGCTGTTCCGCTAGACAACCCTGTTGCCAGCCAGTACTGTTTGGCCTGCAGTTGGCCTGTCTCGACCGGTGAAACGACCCCAACTGCTGCGTCCTTCAGCATAATAACCAAATCCCCAAGGAGAGCATCAGCCCTGGAATTTTCGACGGGTTCTTCTGCAGCTCGCTCCTCCTGCTGTCAGAGACGAAACACAAACATAAGCTCCTATGATTGACATCATGTGTGTAGTAGACTAGATGTCACACACTTTGCTGCGATTGATTGCCGTTGCCGTTCATGCTGACCGCCGCCCTTTCTATGTCTCTGTTCCCCCTAACACAACAAGGTGAACTCCGTTCTGATACAAACAAACTGCAATCACCTTCCTA